TGAGCGCAGAAACCGAAGAACTAGTCACACTCTGCTATTTTTTCTGGTGATGGAATGGTTTTCTTGACTTACCTCGAGCTGTAGATGAGCTCCAGAGCTCAGGCACAGCATTCGGAAGAAAATCATCGGGCGCGTTTTCCGAAAGTATCTAGACGCCTGAACTCAGTCAGCTGTCAGCGCTCGGGCTGAACAACTATTCGTACTCTGCTAATTCCTTGGAGGAAGTATTGGTTTTCTTGGTTTTACTCGTGCTGCAGATGAGCTACAGAGCTGTTCAGCACAGCAATGGGAAGGGAATCGTCCGGGGCGCTAGTCAAATATATCTAGATGCCTGAAATCAGTTTGCTATGAGCGCTCGGGCTGAACAACTTTTCGTTCTCTGCTAATTCTTTGGAGATGGTATATGGCAAAGAAGCTCTACGAGTCTCCCGGCGGTAACCAACGTTGACGGTTGACCGCCGGCGCCCAGTCCCAGAGCTCGCCTGCAAAGCTCTCGAGTGTGATAACCTTTTTGCTCTCCCGCTTTTGGACGCTTCAAGTAACTCGTGGAGCTTCCCTTAGCCAGTTGCTGGAAGCCTAAGAGTAATTCCGGCGCGCTGGAGGGCTAGTTGGCAAGAAAAATCTCGACGGACTTTTTGCTGATTTTTGCTCGGTTGAAAATTATGTTCGTTCTCGAAATTCCTCAATTCGTTTGAGCTCTAGTATTTCTTCCCGTGATATTCGATCTTATTCCCCGCTCGCCGTCTTAGTCTCATCTCGATCGGGTATCTATGACTGCCAAAAGCGTCCGGGCGGGATCGGCTGTTTCGAGTCATCTTGACAGGTGCTGTCGGTTTTCTGCACTTAACTCGAGCTGTAGGAGAGCTACAGAGCTGGTGCGCACAGGTAATCGGTTCAGAATCATCAGGCGCGTTTGTCTGAAGCAGCTTGAGGTCTGAATTCGGTCTGCTACTCGGGCTAGGTCCGCGAAACCATTCGGATACTACCGATTTGTTTCGAGATGATGAGGAGTTTCTTCACTTGCCTCGAGCTGCAGATGAGCTTGAGAGCTCTTTGGCACAGCAATCGGAAGAGCATCATCGGGCGCGCTAGTCTGAAGTCTAGAAGCTTGAATTGGGTCTTTTATGAGCGCGAAAGCCGAACACCTAGTCATATTTTGTTTTTTTTGGTGATGGAATGGTTTTCTTGATTTAACTCGAGCTGCAGATGAGCTCCAGAGCTCTGAGGCACAATAATCGGAACATAATCATCAGGCGCGTTTTTCGAAAGCATCTAGACGCCTGAAGTGTGTCTGCTATCAGCGCTCGGGCTGAACAACTAATTGTACTCTGCTAATTTCTTGGAGATGGTATTGGTTTTCTTGGTTTTACTCGTGCTGCAGATGAGCTACAGAGCTGTTCAGCACAGCAATGGGAAGGGAATCATCCGGGGCGCTAGTTAAATTTATCTAGACGCCTGAAATGAGTCTGCTATCAGCGCTTGTGCTGAAAAACTATTTGTACTCTGCTAATTCTTTGGAGATGTATATGGCAAGGAAGCTCTACGAGTCTCCCGGCGGTAACCAAGGTTGACGGTTTACCGCCGGCGCCCAGTGCCTCGGAGAGCTCTCCTTTATCGAAGAGCTAGAGGAATTCTGGCGCGGGGTGGAGCTAGTTGGTCGACCCGGCCAGAACGGACAATGTGGTAACTCTGGGTCGGTTTTGCTAGGATTCGAAAGATATTTGACCATTTATTTTGAGAAAACAGATTTTTACGCTGAGCATTTTACTATCGGTTCACTTCCCGGAACCGACCTCACATTGACATCAAAAAATACAAAAATGAAGAGTTTGAGAAAATCTTCTGCGAGGTTCTCTGCTTCGATTCTGAGTACTAGTACGCAAGCAAGGAGCTCTACGAGGTTCCCGGCGGTGGCCAGGTTGACGCTACAAGTACCTCGTAGAGCTCTTCGTTATCGATGAGCTAAAGGAATTCCGGCGCGGGTTGGAGCTAGTTGGTCGACCCGACCAGAAGGGGCACTGTGACACTTTTTTGGTCGGTTTTGCTAAGATTTGGAAGATATTTGGCAATTCATTTTCAGAAACCAGATTTTTCGCACCTGTAGACGACTATGAGGGCCTCTGCGTCTTAATATGAGCTCCGTAGGCGCCCTTGTATTATCAAAACACTTGGAGCAACCAACTTCATGTCGACATGAAAAACAATCATTTTTTTCACTTTTCGAGAAATGCTCCCAGAAGCTCTCTCTGTCGATTCTGAGCACTCTTACGTGTGCAAGGAGCTCTACGAGGTACCCGGTGGTGACCAGGTTGACGGTTCACCGCCGGTGCCAGTGCCGAGCTAGCGGAAGTCCGGCGCGGGGTGAAGGTAGTTCGCCCACCCGGCGCGGGCGGACAATGTGGTTATTTTGGGTCAGTTTTGCTGAGATTTGAAAGATATTTGGCCATTTATTCTGAGAAACCATATTTTTCGCACCCATGAAAGACTATGAGGGCCTCTGCGTCTTAATATGAGCTCCGTAGGCGCATTTTTACTATCCAAACACTTGGGCAAACCAACTTCATGTCGACATGGAAAATGCAAAATTGAAGATTCCACAAAAAAAATATGCGAAGTTCTCTGCTTCGATACTGAGCGCTCTTCCGCGTCCAAGGAGCTCTACGAGGTTCCCGGCGGTGACCAGGTTGACGGTTCACTGACGGTTCACCACCGGCGCCAGTGCTTTCGGTTTTCCGTACTTAATTCGAGCTGCGGGACGGCTACGAATCATCGGGCGCGTTCGTCTGAAGCATCTAGAGGTCTGAGCTGGGTCTGCTACTCGAGCTAGGTCCGCGAAGCTATTCCTACTCCATCATTTTGTTCGAGATGATGATGAGTTTCTTCACTTAACTCGAGCTGCAGATGATCTAGAGAGCTCTCACAGCGATCGGGATAACATCACCAGGCGCGCTCGTCTGAAGTATCTAGACGCCTGCATTGGGTCTGCTATCAGCGCAGAGCCCGAACACTGATTCATACTCTTCTATTTTTCTGGTGATGGAATTGGTTTTCTGGATTTTACTCGAGCTACAGATGAGCTCCAGAGCTTCCAGGCAGAGCAATCGCAAGGGAATCGTCAGGCGTGCTTTTTGAAAGTATCTAGACACCTGAAATCAGTCTGCTATCAGCGCTCGGGCAGTACTTGTACTCTGCTAATTTCTTGAGATGGTATCAATTTTCCTGGTTTAAGTCGCGCTCGAGATGAGCTACATAGCTGTTTAGCACAGCAATCAGAGGGGAATCATCAGGGGCGCGCATTAAAAGTATCTAGACACTGAAGCCAGTCTGCATCAGGGGCGCTCATTAAAAGTATCTAGACACTGAAACCAGTCTGCTATGAGCGCTCGGGCTGAAAAAACTATTCGTACTCTGCTAATTCTTTGGAGATGATATTTGGCAAGGAAGCTCTACAGGTCTCCCGGCGGTAACCAAGGTTGACGGTTTACCGCCGGCGCCCAGTTTGGACGCTACCGAGTAGCTCGTAGAGCGTCCCTCAGCTAGTTGCTGGAAGCGTAAGAGTAATTCCGGCGCGCTGGAGGGCTAGTTGGCAAGAAATTTTACTCGGTTGAAATGCCCGTGCCCTCTCCCTCTCCCCCTCCCTTCCTTTGTTGCTAATGCAATCGCCTTGCTGGTCAGGGCCAGCGGCAGAGCCAGGGGGGGCATGGCTGTTGGCGGCGCGCCTCGCGGTGCCCCCCCTCGCTGCTCGGGCGGGCCCGCCCTGGGTCCTCGCGCGCCCTCCCTAGGCCCTCGGTGGCCTCAAGCCCGAAGCGTCTTCAAGTCGGATCAGTCTAGAGCTCTCTCTCCCCCTCTCCCCGGCGCCCCCTTTCCCCTTCTCAGCGCCCTCCTGTGCGGGATCCTGGGCGGGGCATGCTGTCGCAGCGCTTCCGTGGAACGCTGGGCTGAACAAGCTGTTGTTTGAAAGCGCTATATCCGTATATATATATACACATATATATATATAACGCACACACACGCACATATATGTATATATATATATATATACATATGTAGATAGCAACGTGCCTAGTGATATGCACTGCGCGTGTATGTTTGCGGTAATGCGCGCGTGTGCGTGCGTGTGTTTGTGTGCGAGTGCGCGCGTGCGTGCGCGCGCGTGCGCGGTCGCCGTCGCCGTCGCCCGCGGGCGCTCGTCGCGGCCCCGCCGCCGCCGAACCTCTCCTGCATGGCGCGCATATGCGCGTGCATGCGCGCGCATATGCCGCCCGCGGACATATCGAGATCGCTCGCAGTCGGTCCGCCGCGCCAGCCGCCGAGCAGGAGCGGTGCTGGCGTCGCTTCTGCTCCAGTGGGTCTATGCGCGCGCAGAAAGGCAACCAGTGAGCGCACACCGTGCGGCAACCCTCGCAGAGACTCCAAGATCGGGTTGCCCTTCCGCCTGCAGAGGGGTCGGTTGTAGCCGCAGAGACGCGCGCCCCGCCAGGGGGCCTTCGGTGGGGCTGTCTATCAGGCCAGGAAGCGCGCGAGGGCTGCGCCGAATTGGGCATGTCCCCTGGCGGCGGAGATCTGCGCTTAAGCAGTTTACTTTTCCTCTCGTGGAGCAATTTCACGAGCTTCTCTGCCGCCTTCACCTTCTTCTGCTTGCTGTAGTGGTCCGGTTTCTTGCCGACAGAGCGCGCCTGATGCTTGTGGCCGAAATTCTCCCGCGCGGCGCTGCGCCCGTCCCTCTTGCACCGCGTCGCGGTGTATTTCCGCTCGGGGGCCGCCGCTGCAGCGGGTTTCGCCATCTTGACCGCGGGCGCCTCCTCGTCCTCCACCTCGACCTCGTCGGGCTCGAGCTGCTCCTCCTCCTCCCCCTCGTCGCCCCCCTCCTCGGTGGGGGCGCTCCCCTCCTCGTCCCGAGCCCCTGCGGGGTTCCTCTTCGCGGCGGCGGGTCTTTTGAGAGGCCCGCCCTTTCCCTTCGGCTTCTTCTTGGGCCGCGTCTCGTGCGTGGCATTCGGCACCTCCGTCTCCTCGTCGTCGCCGTGCACATTGGCCGTGCGCGTGCCGTCGGGCCACGGCGCCAACTTGCGCTCCGCGGTCGTCGCGCCGCTCTGCCCGATCAGGAGCGTGCGGTCGTAGTCGACAGTGAAGATCTCGAGCTTCTTGTTCTTCTTCTTATTGTCGCCCGTCTCGGCGGGGGGGTTCTCTTCGGGGGCGGCGGCGCCGCCTGGCGAGGGCGTGATGCTGATGGGGTCGCTCAGATGTGGCCTCGAGATCTTCGTGTTCAGCGGGGTGCCAGTCGGGGCCTTCGCGTTGTGCGCCTTGTAGATAGACCCTGGGCTCATCGCGGGCCCGCTGGCTGAACCTGGGGTGCTCGGGCCCCGCGCGCGCGACGGGGGTCTGCTCCCGCTGGGGGCCCTTGCCTTCGTTTCCTTGTAGTTGCCTGCCTGCAGCCTCCCAGTGTCACCGATCCGCTTCGCTGCGGGGTGCAATCTTGATCCGTCGACGGCCCCTCTCCACTTGGCGAGGGCGTGCGAGAGAGCAGCCGGAATCTGCCTCGCATGCATGCTGGCGTCATCCCTGGGCGTGCCGAGCTTATGGATGAGCGCGTCTCGCAGTTGAGGCTCTGCGATCCGCTACGTGATCTTAATGGCACCGCCCGAGGGCGCCATGTTGTCGGCGACCGCGTCGTCCATGTCAGACTGGAAAATCTTCATCGCTAGTATCTCTTTCTGGCGTGACTTCACCGAGTTCTCCATGCTATCCACCGAAGCCGCATTCTTCGCCCGCTCCTCGGCCATGATACGACGCACAAGAAACGATGCGATATCGGATGCAAGAATCAGATCGGGTTGGGACCAAAACGGCTACGGATCGCGCGCTCTCCCGCGCCCACCTCTGTTCCCTCCTGTGCAGGAGGGGCGACGGACCCGACGCGAGCGATTTTGCGAACATTCAGCCACATGTTGGAAAAGCCTGTTTGCGCTAATTAGGAAAGGCTTGTTTGCTCTAATTAATTGAGGAACTGCATGCCTAATTAGAGCAGATTGGACCCTCAAGGAGGGGGGTGCCAGGGGGTGTGGGGGGCATGGGGTGCCGGTGGGGGGGGGGGGGGGCGGGGGGGGTGGGGGGGGTGCCAGGGAGGTGCCGGGTGTGTGTGCCGGGGGGGTGCCGGGGGGGGTGCCGGGGGGAGGTGCTGACGGGGGTGCCGGTGTTGGGGGGGGGGGGGGGGGGCGCTTAGGGGCTGGCTCATCTCATGCTACTTAAGCTTAGCGATGAGTACCTCAAGTAATTTAGCCGACTTGCCGTTGCGACCTTTCTGTGCTTGCTAAGTTATCTTGGGGGTACTTGTATCTACCGCTAACTGCTTCAGAGGAGGGGGGCGAGGAGGAGGGGGGGGAGGAGGGGCATGCGCTCTGCGGCCGCGCGTCTGCGTCGGGTTGCGCGGCCCCATAGGGCCGCCGCCCGCGCGCGCGGGGCGGGAAGGGCGCCGCGTGTCGCACTTCTCATGCGAACTCGAGGGCCCGCACCTCCCAGAAGAAGCCGCTGGCGTCAGTCGCCGGCTCGCACTTCCACGGGATCTTCCTCCAACGCTTCTGGTCGGGACCCCGCCGCCAATCGTAGTGCTGCTTCTTCCACTGCTTGATGTAGACCTTGCAGGTCGGGTCGTACCCACTCTTCAAATCGACCCCGTTCGTGATCACGACGACCCCGTTTTTGTTGATGGAGGAAGGTGACGGGACGGGGTCGAAGCTGGTTTCTTGATGGCCGACTTCGGATCCGTCGCGAGGTCGGGAGGCACCGCGCTGGGGGGCGCTGGGAGGGCACCGCGCGGGAGGGCGCTGGTGGCGCGCGCTCGAGGATTACCGCTTTTCGGAAATGACGAGGGAGAAAAGAAGAAGGAGAAGACGAAGGAGGCGCATGACAGGGGGGAGGAGGAGGGGGGAGGGGGATGGGGAGGGGCGGCATGATCAGGATGAGGGTTACAATAGGAGAATGAGGAAGAGGGGGGGGAGGAGGGGGGGGAGAGGAAGAGAGCGATCGCCATCGCCATCGTCGTCCTCGTTGTCCGTCGCCCCCCGAGCGATCGCCATCGCCCATCCCTTCTTTTCATGCTCCTGCTGCCCCTCCTCCCTCCTCCTCCTCCTCCTCCTCCTCCTCCCCGTCCTCCTCCTCCTCCTCCTCCTCCTCTTCGTCCTCCTCCTCGTCCTCCTCCTCGTCCTCCTCCTCCTCCTCCTCCTCCTCCTCCTCCTCCTCCTTCCCCCCCCCTCCTCGTCGTCGTCCTCCTAAAGCAGTCGCCGCTGCTGCGCCCGAGCAGTCGCCGCTGCGCCCAACCGATCGCCATCGCTCCTCCTCCCCGCTCCTCCTCCTCGCCCCCCCGCCCCCCCCCCCTCCCCCCCCCGCAGCGGTCGCCGGGCCGCTCTGCCCCATTCGCCTCCCCACCTCCTCCTCTTCCTCCTCCTCCTCCTCCTCCGCTCCTTCCTCCTCCTCCTCCTCCTCCTTTCCCCCCCTTCTCCTCCTCCTCCTCTTCAACCTCCTCCTCCTGCTGTCCGTCCCCCTCGTGGAACGCTGGTCGCCGCTCCGCCCGAGCGATCGCTACTACTACTACTACTACTACTACTACTACTACTACTACTACTACTACTACTACTACTACTACTACTACTACTACTACTACTACTACTACTACTACTACTACTACTACTACTACTACTACTACTACTACTACTACTACTACTACTACTACTACTACTACTACGACTACTACTACTACTACTACTACTACTACTACTACTACTATTACTGCTACTACTACGACGACTACCACTACTACTACCACAACTACTACTACTTATACTACTAATACTACTACTACTACTACTACTACTACGACCTATACTACTCCTACTCCTATACTACTACTACTAGTACTACTACTACTACTACTACTACTACTACTACTACTACTACTACTACTAGTACTACTACTACTTACTACTGCTACTACTAGTACTACTACTACTACTACTACTACTACTACTACTACTACTACTACTACTACTACTACTACTACTGACTACTACTACTACTGACTACTACTACTACTGACTACTACTACTATTACGACTACCACTACCACCACTACTATTACTACTACTACTACTACTGCTACTACCACCACTACTATACTACTACTACTTACTACTACTACTACTACTACTACTACTACTACTACTACTACTACTACTACTACTACTACTACTACTACTACTACTACTACTACTACTACTACTACTACTACTACTACTACTACTACTACTACTACTACTACTACTACTACTACTACTACTATTACTACTCTTACTACTGGGGTCAAACTTCATCTTCGTGTCTACGAAATGAATGGGTAAGGGTAAGGGTAAGGGTTCGGGTTCGGGTTCGGGTTCTGGTTCGGGTCCGTGTTCTACACATTCAATTGGAACCGAATAGAAGTACACTGAATAGTAGTAGTTTAATCGTACACGAAGAAGTTGTTCGGAAACCAACAATTTCTCCATTCGCTACTGAGAAAATAATGCAGGGTCTATAGAGCTAATAGTGCACGAAGACGAGGTTCGGAAGCTCACTGGTTCCAATAGTACACGAAGAAGGGTTCAGAAACCCACAATTTCGCCGTTCGCTGGTAAGAAAACAATACAGGGGCTATAGAGCCAATAGTGTGGTGGCGTGGTGGTGACCTGGTGGTGGCGTGGTGCTGGCGTGGTGGGGGGTCAGGGTCGGCTCCGGGCGCGGAATTGTCGGGTGGGGGGTCCCAAGAACAGCGCTCCCAGGAGGGTGCGGGGGTCGGACCTGGTGGTGACCTGGTGGTGGCGTGGTGGTGGCGTGGTGGTGACGTAGTGGTGACCTGGTGGTGGCGTGGTGCTGGTGTGGTAGGGAGTCAGGGTCGGCTCCGGGCGCGGAACTGTCGGGTGGGGGGTCCCAAGAACAGAGCTCCCAGGAGGGTGCGGGGGTCGGACCTGGTGGTAACCTGGTGGTGGCGTGGTGGTGAAGTGGTGGTGACCTTGTGGTGGCGTGGTGCTGGCGTGGTAGGGGGTCAGGGTCGGCTCCGGGCGCGGAATTGTTGGGTGGGGGGTTCCAAGAACAGAGCTCCCAGGAGGGTGCGAGGGTGCGGGGGTCGGACCTGGTGGTGGCGTGGTGGTGGCGTGGTGGTGGCGTGGTGGTGACGTGGTGGTGGCGCGGTGCTTGCGTGGTAGGGGGTCAGGGTGCGCAACGCTTGTTTTCACGTGTCCAGGTCGCCCATGCGGATGTATAACATGAGGATTTGGGTAGGACGTCTCGAGCGAAATGCTTGTTTTCGCGTGCCCAGGTCGCCCAGGCGGATGTCTAACATGAGGATTTGTCGAGGCTGTCTCGAGCGAAACGCTTGTCGCAGTTGAGTGCATCGCGTCCAACCCCGCCCGTCCGTGGGGCGTCCGCTGGCGCGCTGGCAAGTCCCCTGGCGACGCAGGTGCATGTGGCCGCCGTCGGCGACCCACACCTGCAGAATATGTTCGGTCAGCGGTTCGACTTGGCGAAGCCGGGCAAGTCTATCCTGGTTAGCATTCCACGCGGCAAGCCCGTCGAGGACGCGCTGCTTGCTGTACAGGCCGACGCACGTCGACTGGGAGCACGATGCTCGGATATTTACTTCCAGGAGGTCAACGTCACAGGGACGTGGGCAGACAAGGCGCAGCCCGGAGGCTTCCACTTCAACACTCGCGGCGCGCGCGACAACAAGCCGAAGTGGGTGAACTTCGGGCCGGTGGAGCTCAAAGTCGTCCACGGTCACACCGGCGAGGGGCAGCAGTACTTGAACGTCTACCTGAAGAATCTTCGGCGTGCTGGGCTTCCTGTCGGAGGGCTTCTGGGCGAGGATGATTACACGGAGGCTGCGACGCCCGAGGCAGGGTGCCAGGAGACGATGTCCCTATCGGCGGGTCCGGGTGGTCAGGCTCCGCATCGACAGGGCTCCACCGCAGTTGGCTACTGAGCCCGCCTGCCCTGCCGTGGTGCAGGATTTTATACACATATGACGGGGGACCGGGTCCGGAGGCCAGGGGGCCAGCGCCTCGACAAACGTGGGGCCCAGGCGTCATTTGCCTAGTGTTTTTGCAGGGTTTCGGCGACACGGGCCAACAGGGCCCCAAGAGGCTGCGGGGAGGCCCCAGGAGGCCGCAGCGATGGCTCCAGACGCCTTTCAAGAGGACTCCCATGACGCCAAGAAGGCCCCCGAAGGCCCAGAACACGCCCCAAGAAACACCCCGAGAGAGCCCCAATAAGCAAACATCGTAGATTTCCTATGGGGAAACTGATATTTTTGGCGTGTTCGCCTTTTTGGCTTCCACTGCGTCCACGACGGCCTCAGAGGCCCCCGAGACTGCCCCACAGGCTCCCAAGTGGGCTCCAAGACGACCCCAAGAGGGTCCCAAGACGGCCCGAGAGGCCCCCAAGACAGCCCAAGAGAGCCCCAGGACGAGCCCCAGAGGGGTCCCAGAGGTGCACAACCGTATTCAAATTCCGAGCCTTCGGCCCCATCGGCTCCCTGGAGGCCCCAAGAGGTTCCCAGGAGGCCCCAAGAGGCCCCCCAGAGGCCCCAAAAGGCCCCCAAGAGACCCCAAGGAGGCTCCCAAGAGGCACCCCAATAGAGCCCCAAATAAGCAAACATCGCCGATTTCCTACAGGAAAACTGATATTTTTGGCGTGTTCGCCTTTTGGGCTTCCACTGCGTCCAAGACGGCCCAAAACGCACCCAAGCCGGTCG